ATAATTATTCAGTTTAAATGATAACAACAATAGAAAAGTCGATTAAAATAATTATACAAATGAAAAATAAGTATAATAAACAATTGAGCAGGTTTTTGATTACAATAGGCCAATCAGATATTATTTCAAATAATAATTTCTTGTAATTGGTAAAGAAATTACAATTTCTGATTATCTCGCTGTATCATCTTTTTTTATTTGAAAAGAGGTCGGTTTTTCGAATTTAACTGATCGGGTTGAAATTGGATGCATATTAACATATATAAATAGTTTATCCTTTTGTTAAACAGAAAAATTGTTAAAAATCAACATAATTGATCTTCTATATCATAACTAGCTATCACATATCTGATCCCGCGGGAGGCGGGATTGTGGATGCGCACTGCTGAGGAGTCCCATACTAGGACGAAACGGCCGTCCGGTGCTTCTAGGTTTTCCATGGTGGTCTAGCTTCAATGGAATCATGATTTCAACTATTGAGAAATAATATTGTAGAGTACACGGAACTGATCAAAAATACTATTATCCACTCAAGTATTACACCACCCATCCTTAATGTTTCCTTGATTCTAACACCAAATAACCTCTGACCTGTTCTTGCACATATATATATATATATATATATATATATATATATAATTATTGATAACCTTTGTCATTTAATCCTTTACATTCACTTATTTTAGTTGTTTCATACTATTTCTTACTTCAATGTTAAATTCGAATACATATCAGTGGTTGTAAGCAGCTGACGAGAGACTTCGAAATAAAATGATTTCATACTATTCTGCATCGATATTTGTTCTGGCTTTATTTAAATTCATAAAGGGAACTAATTGCATGAAAAATATTATCAGTATGGTGATTTGTGAAGATTGTAGTATTTTTACTGTTGAACTCATAAATTGATCTAAACTGAGGAGTCCCGTGCTAGGACGAAACAGCCGTCCAGTACTTCCAGGTTTTTAATAATGGTCTGGCTTAGATCGACTCGTGAATCAAACCGTTAAAAATATTGTTTTTTATACTTAAACATATAGCATTAGAGAAATTTATTGATAATCGGTTGAAATCTTTATGTGTCAAATTTCTCACAGTATTCAATAATTTGACGTTTAATAAAACGATTGTTATTATTACTATCGTGATCACTAAAATATTAAAATATTGATTATCCAATTATTAATTTACAATGTTTATGACTTAAATCGGGATTTTTAAATTTTATCCTCCTAAATTGATTGTTTATTTCTAGAGTGTGTTCATCGTTAATTGACATCTTGGGATTTTACAATGTGTGAAATACCTTTATATCATTGATAGGAAATACAACGAACACATCAATGGAATAGTCTTTGAAATAATTGGGGAAAGTTTATAACTTAAATAAATGCTTTTAGATGTATTATGTTCTATAACGGTTGATTAGTTTGATTTTGAAGCTCAGCGCTCACCACCCAGCACAACATAAACAATAGAACTGATTCATATAGATAACTTTGGATATGTAGTTTGTACTGAATTTCGTATTAATTATGGTTTATAACATTTGATAATTGTCTTCAGGCTTCTATTTACGTGATAAATTGTAAGAAGATGGTTATTTCATGATTTATTCTCTAGAAAGTAACACTTCATAGAAACTTCATACCCAATGTTATGAAAGTCACCTGAATAAGGTTAGAGGAGATAAATTGTACGTCAAGTGATAAGCATATGAAAGGAATACTTTATTAGTAAATATCGTTTAAAACTATATTTTGATTAATAAATGTTCATCGAAAAGTGTTAAATCCTAATGTCAGTGATGTAAACACTACGATTTCGTTTGTGTAGGATTTCCACTCAATTCTTCTAATCTGAATCTATATTGTTTGTTGTGAAATATGATAGAATTACATGAATAAAACTGGTGAAAATCTTTATTATCTTTCAGTGAGTTACTTTTTGCTTTCTTATTAATCAAATATTACAACAAAAACCTTTGGTTAGTGTATTTATATAGTGTAGATGCATTATGGATATCATTTTATGTTATTAATTTACATGTGTATATTCTAACATTGTTGATCTAATCTTCATACCTTAAAGTTAACAGTAAACTGATGGCATGTACTCATTGTAAGCAATAAAAAAAAGGCTTAATTCAAGCATATAACTGAGAATAAAATGGAAACCTATTGGTTGAACTGTATTTAAATTTTAACTAAGATCAAATATTCGAATCTCACTCCACTTGGAATGATTTCGGTAACTCGAATAGTACATCTCAAAACCTTATTTATGTAATTATTTATTTGATCAATAAATGATATTAAATAACATGAACAGCTTAAATTACTGTTTAATGCTTCATGATTTTCAGATATTGAGTTTATTATCATTTTTATTGTTTTGATTCTTTCGCTTTTTCTCATTGCTCTGGTATAAAATATGCTAACTTAAACTATATACACCTACAGTTTTGTGTCAGATTCGAAGTTTACACATATTACATTTACTTATTAAATAATTGATGATTAAAATGCACACACATACATATATATACACATACACACATGAAGAATTTACTTACCCTTTTAAGAATGTGCTCGAAATTTATTATGAAAAATTATAGGATCAAAACTAATAAGAAAATGACACATTCATTAAATTCCAATATTCCTTCAGTACGTTTTTTTTACTTTTTGTATAAATTATATTACGTTCTTTATCCTTCTTTTTTTGTTGTTGTTGTTGAAAAAAGCGGTATCTGTTTGTTTGTTTAAAGCAAATTGTGAACAATTACTTTCGTTTTTTTTCCACTTTGTAAACTATTGTGAAAAATATACCCAAAGCATTTTCAAAGTCTACATTCCTTTCCAGGTCAACCGTTTATCTGTCATAAACGTCAAATTTTTCTTTTAGTGTTTCTCTGTATCTTTGATTTTATGTGTGTGTGTGTGTGCGTATGTATGTATGTATGTATGTATGTGTGAGTGTTAAGTCACTTTATTGTTGTATACGAATATATTTGTGTTTCATTGTTAGTGTAATTATGCCTAATCATCATTGTTGTTAAAAATGACTGTTTAATGAATCTAAAACTTTCCTTCCACATAGGAAAACTGTGAAACATGAGATGGATTGAATTCGCCAAGTTGAATAGTGTTTTTTTTAATAGTTGATGATGATAGATTAGAATGATTCGTTAGAGGGTGTGTTACACTTGTTTCAGTATTATTATTTACAATCGTTTATTATTATTGCCACTATTATTATTATTATTATTATTATTATTATTATTATTATTATTATTAGTAGTAGTAGTAGTAGTAGTAGTAGTAGGAGGAGGAGGAGGAGGAGGAGTGTTATTGCTACCACTAATTATACATTAAATATTAGTATTTTATTATACTGAAATGTATTTTTCAATGTTGATTTATGTAGTCTTGAGATAAAACATATTTTTCTTGTTTGTTTTTATCATACACAATTCTTCATTCATCAAAAACTTTAAAAAAAATTAATGTGTCTCGATCTAGCTCAACTTTTAACATATAATATTTTATTATATTTAAGCTTTAATCATTTGGGTATAAATTGTATATGTAAGTTTACTAAGAATAAATTATTAACTACCAAACGTCTTACATGATATTCATTATTAATCCATAGACAATTTTAATAGGATATTTTTTCAAAGTTAGGGAGCATTGGTTCATTGTTGTAATAAAGGTTTTATTAGGTTACAAATATTCATGGAGAAATAACAAAGTAACGTGCTCAACTACTACTCTCTATATGATCTAATTACATATTAATGCAAACTTATCTTGGAACAATATTTTGACTTTATATAGAGGAAAATGGTTTCTAAACATTTGTGTTATTTACAAAGGCGTTCAGAACGGTCATCATTTTGCTGACGTCTTTAACATGCTTTCGCAAACTTTCTAGGGAAGTTAAGAAGGCATCATTAAACGCCTCAGTCATAAATCCAAAACATGGATCTCCAGGGTTTCTGCTAGTTTCATGTAAAGCATGGTCAAGTTCCCCTGGTAATCATTTACAGCCATCAAATGAGTGGTCACATCTGTGGAAGATGGTTAAATTCCTTCAATGTTATAGGTTCGCTATAATGTTGAGAGATCACGAGTATGAATCTTAGACCCTAGTCTATACTGTTGAATGTCCTTAAATTTCAATCATCAAACAGTTTGCATCACCATGTCGAGTCGCCTATTTTCTTAAATATGCTTTAAAAATATTCAGTTACTTAAGTTCATTTAATTCCAAGTCCTAAACTTCACGACGCTAGTTATCTTTTCAGGAATGATTAGCTTAACATTTCGGAGTACAACGTAATATTTTGGCATTTAATTATACGTTTTTACATTATAACCTATATTGATAGAACTAACTCAGCATTGAGAATTTAATAGAATGTGATCCCATCTCTTTGTCTATTAAAGAGACCATATGTTGCACAGTTTTTGTTCATAAATGTTAAGTTCTTTCATTTAACGATAATCCCGAATACAATTTTTCTAACTCGTATTTTCCATTACCTTTCTGATTGGTTGCTAACTAAGTTTATATGTGCTCCAAGGTTATGTTTTCACTACTATATACACAATGTGGTATTACTTCAGTTTGTCTGTTTGAATAACAAGTTTTACTGCACTCTCAAACTTTTTCTGTGTCCTTTTGCAACTGAATATTATTGTGGCAATATCATATATTTTATCTTGGTCAACAATTTATGCTCTAATGATGGCGTCTCTAGCTTGTAGCACCAAATGATTCATGCTTCACTTAATGTCAAAAAACAAACCCCTTCATGATTATTACACAGATTGTTTTTGAGTACTGGTAAGCTCAATACTGATATCCAGAATTGCCTGCCGATCGTTTTACATTTGATTTGTTTCAGTCCACTTCCTCTTCAAATGTATCAACAGTAATATTTCATTATGTTTCTGTTAATTTCATACTGTTTTCTTTATGGTTACTATCAGGTCTGTTGGGGTTCTTACATATTATCTACTCACTGGAATCTCTCCATTTCTCGGTGAAGATAAATACATCACAATGCAAAATATTACTCATGGTACAATTACGTATCCTGATTCCCTTTTTGATAATCGTTCATCCGATTCAATTGACTTTATTCAGCGCCTTCTTCAACGTTCACCGACGTAAGTTTTGTGTAGTACATACATGTTTTATTTTTCTCAGCTTTAAAAAATTGATTTCGTTGATGGTTTGAGTAGTATTTTGTTCATCTTAAAAATGTTACTGAACTAGTACTACAATTAGAACAGATAATGAAAATATCAAGCCACTAATTTTATTTTATTTTTTTCGATTGAAAGACAGGTGAATGTAAAATGAAGAGAATTTTCATTGTGTATTTCCCCAACCGTTGTTACTATCTTTACTCGTTGAGATCGGGTTTACCTATCCTAATGATCTGACTGAGCTATATTGGGTGGAACAATTACTTCTTTAGGTCCAACTCTTTCAACCTGGTCAATTGGGGAATAGTAAGACTAAAAGCAAAATACTCATTGACCAAGGGGAGAAGTTGTACTGTTAATCGTACAGAAGTGTGATGAGAGTAAGGTATCTCCCTCAGGTAACCAAAATCTGCAGCAATATTTTCTTTTCGCAACAGAAGGAAGAGAGTTGGAAAAGTTCGGCCCAAGAAATGCTACATCTCACTTTACCTCGCGTATTTTTGTCTCCAGTGGTAAGACCTTTCAAGGCACGGAGCTAACACATTACAAACATTTCACCTACCTTGAGGAGTTCTTCCTTGAGCTGTGTGATCACACTTTCACAACTCTACATCCATTCTGACCCAGTTCCACGATGTGAACAACCGGAAAGTGAAAACTTCTCTCACTCCTCTAACTGCAATGATTGTGCATTTCAGATTATATAAAGCATTTTTCTGATACTACTAAGCCACAACAGATTGATTTTGGAATAATGGAACTGTTACTAAAGCTTAAACACTAGTGTTTATGTGGTGTATAGACTTTGTAATGATCATATAACTTTCATAAAACATCATATCATATTTACTCTGTTATTTATGTATTACTATTGTTTGCATTATACTGTTGTGTTCGTACTCTAATCTAAATTATTCACGACTAAGATATAAATCGAAATTTAATTCGACTTTGTCGGTTTTTCATTTATCTAACAGGTAGGTACTTAGGTAGGCAGGTAGATGAATAAATCAAACTCATTGATTTATTGGATATAATATACTATTTAGTTTCATGTTTTTATAAATTATAACATTTAGATATTAGTTATTATTCTGAATGTTTATTTTCATGGTAACAGTTCTTATGTGCGCAACAGTTTGAAATTGTTTCTATCCGTCTATTTATCCAATGATTGAATAATGTATTCACTCTTATAAACTAGGCATATATATTTCAACTGATTCATTGTAAATTCAAATCCTTTTTTTCACTCTAATAAGTATCATTAAATTTCAAACTAAATGTATGCTATTTAGCTTTGACTAAAAGAATGTCCTATCGCTAATGAATTGGGTCATCATTAGAGAATTACATATTGCGTGTGTTTGTTTTTACATTTTGTAGTTTTGTAGTTTGAGCAACCTTTATTTAGACATTAAAAAAGTTACAAAGATTCCATTTTATCCCTACAATATACGACTTGATAGTTTTAGAAATCTGATCCCATACATAAATTTGACAGTTCTTAACTTTTTTTTCCCAAATTACTGTTATGCTAGTAAGGATTGAACGTCGAGTAGGTATAAGTAATACACGTCCTGGATAATGTTAGTTTACAACTCTACTTGGTGGGTATCATTATACACAAGCGCTGCCTCAGTTTTACTTTTGAAAATTAAAACCATTTAACGTAGCGTTCACGCTATTTTCCTTTAACGATACGAATGGTTCGATTTGTACATTAATTGTAAGTCGTTAAAACGATCATTTATATAATAACTTAGATCATATTCAAGCTGGCTTTTTACAGTGAATTCACTAGGTTTTCTATAGATCGGTTGCAGGTTCGAACTACACTACACCTATTTCAGTTTGGCCAGCCAGCTAGAATCATTAGGACTCACATAAACAGTTTGATAAAATTAAGCCTTTTATAATTAGTGAAGCTCAATCGTATTAGTTGTGAGGAATCTTTACCAATTGGAATTATTAATCGTAGCGTTCTGTGTTGGAAATTAAGTAGATTTGAAACATTCAACCTCAACGAATTCCTACTCGACCCCTTCTAAAAGCATTTCAGTCTCTGTGAAACCTAACAGTACTAAAAGCGTCGTGGATACGTACTGACGATGAGTCCTGAATTAAGATGAAACAACTGTCTGACTTGACTCTTAGTTTCGCCCCGGTTGATATATATTCATGGGTATTAGGGAATGATGGTGAATCGGTTGATGAGGTCGTGAAGCTTCGTTGACTGAGATGGTTGGACCACATGTTATGTATGCCTGAACACCGATTACCACAACGCTCAAAGCCGACTAGTGTTGTGGATGGTTGAAAGAAAGTTAGGGCGGCCATACCAAAATGTGGCATCAGTGTTTGAAGACACTAACTTCTAGTCTGAACCATTTTAGTAGATTCAGACTACTTGGTTGGGGTCCAGTTGACTATCGTAACCAACGATTAAAGACTCTGGGTGACATGACTCAGAATCGATCACAGTGGCACAGGTGTATACACTCTCTGCCCTCCCTCAGACGGTGAAATTAGGATTACTTTATACCTTTCTGTCTATGAACTAACTCCTTCTTTCTTATACACAATCTGTCTTTTATTTATTACTACCATAGAAGTAACTACTATGAATTTGGCGTTCATCTTTCTGTGCTAATGAAGTATGGCAACTTGGACCGTTGCACATATGTGACTGGTCCTACATTGTAGCTGACTGACTTCATATATATTCATGACAAAAATCACCTTTAAAATATATATGTATAAACAAACTTTATTCCCAAACTAAAATTTTCATTCCCGTATTTATATGTGATAGCGAGAGTGACAGAAGAAGCAATTGTAGTAATGCATTAAAATTACTTCCTTTTATCGATGCTATATATATATTGTATTATTATTATTATTATTATTATTATTATTATTATTATTATTATTATTATTATTATTATTATTATTATTATTATTAAGTAGGGAAGTTATTGATGCTGTGTCCGTTATGCTTTTCTAATTTAAAATAAATTGTCGCAAAAATCATGCTTATTCACATGTGAATCATGTATGATTCATGATATAGTTACTAGTTCGTTGTTCTTATGTTTTTTTTTTCAATGTCATTTTCTGTCTGGGTTATTACAGATTTAAATGATAATGGTGACCATTTTATCTAATAATAACAATATTAACAAAGAAAAACAATTTAGCTTAAATCTACTGTCGTTTTAGCTGAATTATTATAATTACAAAAGTAAAGGGAAGATTTCCTTTCAGATATTTAGTTGAAAGGTGAATAGATCGAAGGATCATTACTGTTTGCTAATCTATCCATATATATATATATATATATATATATATATATATATATATATATATATAAACAATCAATTGAAAGAAATATCAGATTTGATAAGGCATATGACGTTTGCTTATGGTTAAAACACAGAGAGAGGTTTCAAAGCTTGTAGGACCAGTGATCTACAAGCTTCTTTTCGGTATATAAGTTAGGTTTCTGTATATGTATTGTAATATCTTCAGCGTTGAGTAAAAAATGAACCCGTAAACCATGTGGTAAACTTAATGGATTATAGTAAATAACTTTAAATTTCTTTCCGAGTCAACTTGATGTCCTGGGCTAATCAATCTTAATATCTTGATTATCCTTTTCTTAACGCATCCTGATAACATACTGTTATACAATTACTTACGACTTATCTAACTTGCTAAGCAGGAAAAGTTATGTTGGTAAGCACACATAGATGCGACGATTTCAGGCAGTCTATCTTTGTCAGTGATTTTCATTATCAAATGAGTGTAAAGAACCGCTTTTAATTTAAATGCAATAACTTTTTTATCAACAGTTTTTCCTAGTCTTTTTATCAGTTAAGGTTTAGGGCTAGGGTTAGAAGAGGACACTTTGCAAAAATACCTTTCATTTTTAAATTAAACTAACTTTGAAACTGAAACGTCTTTCACTCTGGTTTTCGTTTGAATTTCAAGTGTCAAATCTTGTGGAGGGTGGTCTAGAGATCGATTTACAATTCAATATCTCAAACACTTAATCTATAGAGCTTATCAAGAATCTGCAATTTGGTCTCTTTGTTTTATTTCGACGTCATAAATTCAACGTGTCTTTACATCGTAACAAATATTAGTACCCCTAATATTAGACTGGAACGTATTATCTATTGTTTAAAGTAGCAAGGTGTTATCCATGAAAATATTCACGGTTAATGATTATTTAAGTAATAATAGAGAGGAGAACAGTTGCGACATTACAGATCGTGAACATGGAAAACTTAAATCTGAATCTGACAAATAATATGATTTCTCTCGAGCTTTTAGCGTTACTTCTTGCTGATTTATACCACGTTGCATTACACCTAGTTTCATAATTTTTATCTAATTGCCTCCTCGGACATTCTTTTGAATGTCAGTTTAAATGTCTGTGTATGCACGTTTTTACACATTCATACTAACTGATCGCTAAATAGTGATGGTAACTGACATTATGTTGTCAATTGGTTACTACTCAGAGATCAACCGATTGTAGATGTTTTGATGGTATATGACTAGTTGCAAGCCACAAGAAGCTCAGTTTTTATCCAGATTATATGCCAGCTGTCACTCATCATCATCAAGATATCTCTTCAATTTTGAGACAACTGATACCCCTCACTGCTCATGCGATATCTTGATTTGGATTACTTAGTTCCAGTCAGTTATTGTGAATGAGTGCTTGTTGCTAGTTGGCTCCATCCACTTAACATCAAAACATTGCATACATATATGTTTATTACCCGTAGTTTTAATAGTATGGGTGATTTTTTTTGAAAACAACATACGTTCGTCACCACCAGTCTATCACATTCCATTCATTTTATGCCACCTTATCTTCCCCTTATGCATTTAACTGACATTTCTTGTTTTTTTCTCTCTCTCTCACACACACATACACTATCGTTTTGTTTATGCATTTAGTTAATAATCACCACAAAACTATGTTTGTGATTTAAGTAGTAAGTAAAAAGAAACCTAGAAAAATGGTAATTCAACACAATTAATTTCCAAAATGATATATAATATTTTATAGTAGTAGTAGTAGTAATAGGGCTATTTTTTTCTTGTTTTTCATTTTCACAAATTTTTTTTTACTATTATGATTATCGATTTGTTGCTGTGTTTTTTTTTCAATGTGTTTTTGGCACACGGATTCTTCTTTTTTTTCGAATTTTCTTTCGTTTTATTTCCCCTGTTCTTTTTTTCCTCTTATGTTTTTTAAATGTTTATTTATTTATTTATTCTGATATTGAATAATTGTATAATAAGTCTTGTTTATCGATCTATAACGAAATTATATATATACGTATGTGTATATATATGTATGTATAGGTATATACATGTATATACACATGGAATGATCGCTTTCATTGGATTAATCACTAAACTTTTGGTTAGTACATTATAGTTTTTTACCTTGTTCTGCTTGATTTACTTTAATTAGCACCCCACAAATTTTGAGTTGATGGGGAGGGGGAATATTTATAACAAGGGTAAATGATTTCATTGAAATTGCGTATTCCAATTCAAATCGGATGATTTAATTGTGAAACTTTCGTTTTCTTTCTAGACTTGTGAAGAAATCCTTATAGTTCATTTCCATCTGAAGTCTATGTTGGTGATGTTAATTTCATCTGGAAAGACTGTGAAAGTTTATGAGTTCTACTAGAAGATTTCACATTAAACAATATAGTTCCATTGATCTGACTACAGTAGTCTGTACTTGATTATTGAATAGTTTTGCTATAATCTTTAAGATGGCAATTTTTCGTTTCAGTGCTATTGCATTAGTAGTGATGTAAAAAAAACTCGATATTCAACTTTGTTTATTTTTGTAAAGATGATTCAGAATAAGAACAAACTGTTATTGAACACATAAATAGAGTTTCAGTTTTCGTATAGTTAGGGCTTCAATAAACCTAAGTATACACCGTTGGACCCTATTACATAACACTACAAAGAGTGACTTGATATCAACTCTATGAACGATCTCAACCAAATGTTTCGCAAAAAAGGATATTTATTATCGGAAGGGTGGTTTTGTGAAGGTTTTAGCAATTTCAATTGTTGAGATCATGAATCAATTGAATCTAGACCACCATGGAATCGGTGGATACGTACTGCTGAGGAGTCCCATGCTAAGACGAAACGGCCGTACAGTGCTTCCAGGTTTTCCATGGTGATCTAGCTTCAATTGACTCATGATCTCAACAAAGGATATTTATTCATGCTATGATCATATTTGTCCATTGCAGTTCTCTTTTCTTTCTAGCCATTCATGTTTGTTTTTACATAATTTTGATAAACTTCATCTTCATATTGCATTATTCAAATGTATCAACAGAAAAACTGATTGTTTTAAATTTAACATTTCTCATGTTGTTTTAAAAATAATAGCTCCTATTATTTATTATTTCGAGGTGAATTCATAGGGAAAATTGTAAGAACTTGTCTCTTCACTGAATCAATCTTCCTTATTTATATATTATTCTCAAGTTGATTGTAAGTAAATTACATTTTATTCTAACAATCTAGTGCATCATTATTAATAATAATAATAAATTTTCATTTGATCAAATCATATTTGTTTGTTTGTTTTTCTCTTTTTCTTCCTTAACATTACATGGACACATTTTCTGTTTAGATTACAGGTTTTTGTATTTATTGTTTATACTTTTATATACCTTCACTCATATATATATATATATATATATTCACCTTCTATTCCTTCTCCTTTGAAATTCCATCGCAATAGTTTACCGCTTTAGTCGGTTTTATGTTGTATTTCTTTTCTCTCTCTCTCTCTCTCCAGCGTATTTTGTAAGAGAAAAGACATTTGTATTACATTCCCTCCATCTCTCTCGTATATATATTACATAATAGTGAATGCTACTGTAAAGCTTTTATTTATTTGTATCTTCAATCATCATCATCATAAGGATTCGAATATATTCGAGAAATACTAAACTTTAATAAAACATCTTATCTCTATTGCCATAATATAATGAACTAACTAACCATTCGACTATTTATATCTGTATATATTTACTTATAATCATAATAATCTTGTCCAAAATGTAAGTTCTATGCATTTGTCCAGAATTACACACAAATTCTTTAGATATTTTTAAGAATGTTACTATAGTTAGTTCTAATAATACTAAGATTTATTCTTAAAATACCTTTAATCAAGATTTTTGCTTTGAGGTTGAAAAAGAAAAACCTTAGATAAATCATGTGAAATTATAGTAAGAAAATAGCTAAAGAGAGTAACATTTATTTTTTTCACTAGTGTAATAAGTACTTTTCTTTCTGTTGTTGTCAAACACGATCTTTTTTATTGGAAACTGATATAAATTGTAAAGAATTAATGTAAGCTACTAAACAGTAAATGGCTAGTTGCTCTGTTTTTCTTTTGGGATTTCTAAACATTGAGCGATTGTCCACTTCATTTAAAGTTACTTACGGCTGTGACTCCCAATGGAGCATAGGCCGCCAACCAGCATTCTCCAACCCACAATGCACTAGGCCTTTCTTTCTACTTCTATCCAATTGTTGTTCATTCTTGTCATTTCTGTCTCCATTTCTCGGCGTCATGTGTTCTTTGGTCTTCCTCTCCTCCGCCTTCAGTCTTGAGCATTCCATGTGAGGGCTTACCTTATGACGCAGTTTGGTGATATCCTCAATGTGTGTCCTATCCAGTTCCAGTGCTTCTTCCTGACTTGTTCTTCCACTGGGATCTTGTTTGTTCTCTCCCACATTAGGTTGTTGCTGATAGTTTCTGTCCAACGGATCCGAAGTATTTTGTGTAGACAGTTGTTAATAAACACTTGTATGTTCTGGATGATGGCTTTCGTAGTTCTCCAAGTTTCCGCCCCATACAATAGAATTGTGTTGACATTTGTATTGAATTGTCATATCCTAGTTAAAAATTAATTACGAGTAACTTCCGAGAATTATTAATGGGACAATGTTTTATATATATATATATATATATATATATATATATATATATATATATATATATATATATATATATTGTTATTGTTCAGTAATTAGACTGTTTATATCTATATTCATCTTATAATAAGCTTCATTCTGTCATATAGATTATTATTATTATACGATTTACTGTTCTTACGTCATTATCAACTTGTTGAATACAGTCTCCAACATTCACAGCCACTATTTGGCTTGATCTTGTGTAAATGTTATTTCTTATTTTATGGTGTGATGTGGTCTGTTTGGCTGATATATAAACCAAGTATGTTTGAAATAAACGAGTCACATAGTGGAAGCTGTTATTGATGTTCTGAGCTCAACTGGACGGGCTAGGCGAACAAAGGACTAATAAGGATGCTAGGCTACTCTAACCGGTCGAAGGTCATTGGTTTAGCACAGTACTAAGATTGAATAAGTCGTATTTAGACTGGCGAATAAATCATGTGATAACTAGCGGGACTTAAAGTTACAACAGTAATGACATTTGAACATAATGACTAGCTTAAAAAGATTGTTAGAAGTCTAGATCGTCCAACTGTATCCTAGATGTCCACAGTATCAAATATTTCAACTCAGATTTTGATATCAGAATTTACATCTAGATTATTTGTGTATTCATGACGAAAACTGTATTTGTTTAAAAACTATGTTGTACGATAATAACTTAAATTTAAAACATGATTTCAAATTGCTGTAATATCTTAATCGTAACGGAAGTCTAAACATGAAATATATATATTTCCCATGGGATTAATTATATCGAAAAAGTGCCAAGATAATAATAGTACTTAACATTCAAAATTTAGAGGAGGATAGAAGGTAAGCGCAACTGTTTCACTGTTACCCGATTTCGCACTGTTTCACGCAATTTCTTCAATCAATGATTATTAGTATTACGTAGGGCCTGCAACTGTAAAGTACAGTCTGTCGATATGGTTCAGACGAGTAGTCTCAACGACTTCTTTCATTAATACTATTTCGTGTTATGGTCATCTCTAATTTGATTCCAATCTACTTCTTTTTGATAGAGAATCATATTGTTTTTCATTTAAAAATTGAAATAAAGTGGATTTATTTTACTGTATTTGGCAAATTTCATCCACAATTAATCAGATAATAATAATTATATATGGAAGCACCATTGTCTATTCAATCATATAATTTTATTAAAGTTTTTGAGATATTTATCTCCACAAAGAGTTTTAAAAAGTCCATGTTAATCATAAAGTAATATTTGACTGTTTTTTCTTAATTATTCTATAATTATTGGTGTATTTTTACTTCTGTTGTACTACAATCCTGACTCATAATTTCTGTCATTAACTCTGCTTTTTCAGTTGGGTCTAGTTGGTAGGTAGGTACTTCTTTTAAAATGAAGATAGGATTGTATCAGTTTACAGTATTGTTTTATCCTTTACTCACATTGCTTTTATTTTCTTTATCTTTCTCTTTCAAGACAACGTATGTCTGCCAAAGAATGTCTCAATCATCCTTGGCTCCTCCAGTCATTAAATCAACCAATCATAATCGAAGCAGAAATTAATCATCAATCATCACAAATCGCATTGTATAATAACAAAAATAATAGTAGTAATGATGATAATGTGAAATATGCTATTGAATTATTCAGTGTAGATCCAGTTGTTGAAATTGTTGATGAATTTATATCACCACTTTGTTTAACCCAGTTTATAGTACAATCTCCTGTATATATTGTTCCACATGTAGATGTTGTTAGTCAAACAAATTTTTATAAACTAATGCCTTCACTAAAATTATGTGTTAATTATCTTCCTATTGTCAACTCAACAACAGCATCTACACATTTTACCTCTTCAATAAACAACCACCCATCATCATTCGAACAGTCTATTAGAAAGATATCCAAAAAATTAATCAATGGACATTTCAATCTACTTAAAAGTCTATCTGAGTTAACCAAAATTTGTTCAATTAATTTGAACAATGACAATCGTTATGTTGATACTGACAAGGGTTATCAGTTGATGAATGGGTATTCCATCGATATACATGATGAATCAAGATCATTAACCAGTTATTCTAAACTATCCATCAACAATTTGTGGAATTCTAACGTAATTCATTATAATATTTGGAGAAACAACAAATCGACTGAAAATTATGTACCCATTAGTTTATTCATTTTAAATTATTTACAAGAATATCAATTATTCTTAATGTTTTGTGATTTAAAGTATTATAAATTACTTCATCGTGATTTTTATTTCTTTAACGCTCATAATACTACTAATATTGTTGATAGTAGTAGTAGTAGTATCAAAGAGACTATTATTACAAATACTGAATTATTTGTAAATTTTCCATTGTCAAGCAAAATGCATCATCACAAACAACAACAACAACAACAACAACCTAATGAAAATGATATAACTCAAAATGTAATGAATAGAAATAATGAAATGAAAGAATTAATTAAAATATCTAAATATACTACTGATATAATGCCAAAAGTGAATGAAATTATTCCGAAAAAATTTATAAATTCACATATTTCTACAATTCGTATTGAATTAAATTCATCAATAAAAGAAAATTTGAAAGTAATGAATTCCTCAGATGATCATTATAATTTTAATCATACAAGAGATTATTTATCTTATGACTTTTGTAAGTTATGTAATATTTTTAAAGTATAATTTAATTGATATCAGAAGGGGGTTTTGTAGATATGATAGTAATGTCAATGGTTGAGATTATGAGTCAGTTGAAACTAGACCACCATGGGAAACCAGGTTTTCACAATTGATTGATCACTGGGTGGTGATCAATGTCATGCTTGTTTAGTCCTTATTATTAGTGCAGATCGAATGCTATCGACCATATTGCAATGTGGTCACCAGTCTAAGTGACTCGACATTGCGGGCACTATTGTGAGATTAGATGGTGGTTGGGTTTCCTGTCGACTACCTCCAACCACCATCGAAACCAGGTTTTCCATGGTGGTCTAGTTTCAACTGACTCATGATTTCAACCATTGAAATTACTAAAATTTAATTATTAAAAAAAGGGTGAATTGTTTTGTTTTTAATAAATTGTAAAATCGAACTTATATAAACATTCAATAGAAGAATGACTATGGTACTCATTAATTGTTTTAATGAATTAGGAAACAAATAATTCGTTTCCAAGAATGGGAAATATTAAATTTGGTTGTTGTAAGAACTAATGCTTCCAAGATCATAGGTATATTTAAGTGACGATGGCTAACTAACATGAAACCTAGGTCAAATAGAGTACACTGTTTGTTATCTTCAACCAATCGATGGTCTTAGTGATGTTGGAATTCGTGTCACTAAGCTTCACAATAAACTGCATTATTCAGATCTTAACTGATCTATAGGACTGAGTTATATTTTCAATATTTACTATCGGATTTTATATCCATAGTCAGTGTCACTCTGTTGTTTAGACTGAAACGTTTAACAACTGTATAATTTAGTTAATTTTCAATTTTTAATTCTGTGACATTCAATCTAGATGTCAAATTGTTATATCCTTAGATGCTTATATTCTTGATATGACGCGTATAAATTGAGCACTTGAACTCTAGAACCATTCCAAGTCACAATGAGAAGACAGAATACTAGTGAAAGAATGATATTCCAGACTGTGTCAAATTAGAGTACAAACTGTCAGGTATTTATAGTTTTTAGTAAAATCGAAATCATCATTATAACTATCCGATCTGCACACAGGGGGTTATTGGCATTGTCCAATCGGGAAGCTACACGTAGAAATTCTAGAATATTCTCCCAAAAGATGATTGGATGGAATATCTTTAGCTCTTTCTGAGCTTCTTAGGGCTTTCTCGAGTTCACCCGTGGACCGTTCTCACACAAAAATACATAGGTTTTAGGGTTTAATTAATATTGATTTATTTTTTACTAAACCTGTTACAGCATCTCATAGTTCCTAAGATTCTTTGAGATAAACATTTCCCTTGAAAAGTATAGAATGTTTGTTTCATTAGTGTTATCCATTTGAAACAATGGTTGATGAACTAGATTTTATAAAATGTAACTAGTTAGATTATAAATTCCGACACAATCCCGTCATAATTTAGTATAAATAGCAGTGTCATATAAAGATAAATACATGAATCTGTACCCGATAGATGTTTTATATTGTAATTTAGTACTGTTCATGGTTTCTATGTGACTCAGTAATTATAATAATGATTTAGTCGTTTTAAAATGCATGAAAATTAACTCATCATATAAATTTCCGTATAAGTTAGACATTTACTACACATAGAAAGCATAAAATTGATTTTATTCACTTATAGAGATTCAATATTCTTTAATTTTGGTTAGAATAATATGATAATTGCATGAAATGTAATTTGTTTCGCGTGGTATAAATTTTATTAATATTCATTAGTTATAAGTAGTGAAATATTTCTAAAACAAATATGATTCGATATTATTTTGTTTAGGTAAAATCTGTGTATAATATAGCATAATGCATGTTTTGGATCGGTGTTTCTGTTTCTATTGTCATGCATATCAATGGTAATTTATTTGCTTGTTTCCATTGACATCGAATGCTTTTTAAAAAAAAAATGATTCATGTTGAAATTTGAATCACAATTATTGTAAAAGCAATGAACATTGCACTGCTTTTTCATTTTATTATGTGGCTCTTCAGTAGTGCACATCAAGAACTTCTTACCTTCTCAGTGAACATGCTATTGATTTGTGCAATTGTTCACATTTTTTGAAAATTTTATTCAATCATCGATATATTTAGCTTCGGTCTTTATTCTGGCTTCCAGACAAGCCAATCTATTTGTTCTTCTTGATTCACATTTTGGCCTTGTCAGCTAATCGCTTATCAACTAAACATGAATTATTGATGTGACTAAAGCATAATTATAATAGTGTAGAGTAAAATGGGTTGATATTGTGAAGGAATACTCTTAACATTGACTACTCAAAATGATGAATGATCTTGGAATAGAATATTTATGAATTTAGTTGAAGGTTTTAATAAAACGTTATTTGTACAATGAAATGTTTGTCGAACCCTGTGTCATACGTCTATAACTAATCGATTGTGAAGTCGGAAGAAATAATAATTGATATTTATTTTGATTTAAATTCGATTTCGCAGGATGAGCTGCAAACATCAGTTTACGTTTGTGATGTTCTTTTTAAAGTGTATCAGGAAATATATGTGATCTGTCGTTACACTGTATTATTGTGCACTAAATCAACTGGGAATTAATTTTCGGAAGTACTGTATACTTACTGAATACAAAGTACTGTTTGACCAGCATGTACTTTTTTCACTTTTTGTGGTGTACTACTGGAAATATTTGAAAAATTTGTTTACCTGAGTAGTATATTTTGGTGCTAGTGTTTAATTCTAAGATGAAATCAATATATGTACAGTGAAAGCTAGAGCGACTTGTACCTATATAAATCATCTTTAGCATCAACGTAGTTCCACTTTAACTGTAAAAGGTCTATTTTGTAAGGCACCGGTGAAGTCAATTCTGTTTTATGTTTTCGAGTTGATGATGTTTGGCCACTTTACGTTTGATCGTCATTGCTTCTGAGAAATTAACAACTTTCGGTAAAAACCATGCTATTAATGCTAATCGGTAAAGCTTATTTATTTACATAATGCCTAATTACTATTTTCATATTAAATATCTCCCCTCACCATCAGTAAGCAGTGCGACTAAATCAGTAGTGCACACCAGTCAGTATAGATGTTGGCCAAATTGGCCTAAGTATTGTGATGCAATGTTTTGAGTTACATGAAGTTGTCCTGATTCATATTTGGTGACGTTTATAAAGCAACTTACTGTTTATACCAGTGATACAAATGAAAAAATTCTTTATCTAACAAACACAAAAAATGGTAATTTCTTATACTTTTTATTCTCGGAATTCATTCAATCAGTTTAAAACAGCACAGTATTTCTAAATGAAAGGCTAGACTATATCATTTTGAATGTAGTCTAGACATGTGACGTTATTAATAGTGTAGTGTGTGCTACTGATGTCGACAGATATAAGTAGTATGTATCATCCATCGAAATTGAAATGCCTGGAGGCAGAAGGTTAAAAAGATCAAAGAAAAGAGAACATAGAATGATTGCTGTTAAAACGACGAAAAAATAACGTCTGAGATGATTGATTGACATTTTGCAAATGAACCATTTACTGTATAGTTCTCAGATTTTACTAAGATATTCTGTAATTTTGTGTTCTAATACATTCGATTATCCTCATTTGTGTTCTCGTTCACTACAGTAGTAAGCCACGTACTTTGATTACTAGATCTACTGATCCATACCGTAGATATCAAAAGTTATTATCAGTTCTTTTACAATAAATATTTCATTCTTATCCTATTGTATAATTTAAACAATCTGTTATTTCAGTTCCAATCAAATATTGTATGATACATACTACTAAACATAAAAAAACCTTCTACTTTATTTTTTAAATATTACGAAACATAATGATCATTTTGATGAGGTTTTATTCTCTGATCTGGATGAACCAAACCATCCAGCTCACAGAATAAAACTTCATTAAAATCATTCACCTGAGCTACAAATCTTCTCCACCATCTCATAGTGATCATCCAAGTATATAATTGTCTTAGATTATGTTGTTTGTTTGTTTGTTTGTTTAACTAATTACTCAACTTATTTTGAAATTTATGTTTTATTTTTATTTTCAATTTTATATGAATTTTAGTACCGCTTTTTTTCTTCTTTTTTTTAAAAAATAAAATAAAATAAAATTTACATGGCGTCTTTATTTTTATTGAAATTTATCTTCGAGAAAAAAGTTAAAATTCAATATTTAATGATTCAACTTTTTCTTTTCTTTTAATTTCTTTATTATTTTTTTCTTTTTTTAAATTTATTTGATTCTTTATATGAAATCATCTTTAGAAATTTCATAATATTAACATTTTTTCTCTATGGATTTTAATTTATATATTTTATTTTAATTGTATTTATGATAAGTTTTCTAGAAAAAAAGAGAAAAGAAAAAAATAGATAAATATAATTTTCACTCATTAAAATCATGAATCAATTGAAGCTAGACCACCATGGAAAACATGGAAGCATTGGATGGCCGTTTCGTCCCAGTATAGGACTCCTCAGCAGTGCATATCTACGGACTTCAAGAGGCATTTCCTAGAGTTCTAGTGAGAAGCCGTGACCAGTGGAGTTCAACCAAGTGCGTTATGAGATATCAAGTCACTGAAGACAATGGTGTACGGTAGCGCAACTTCGTGGATTGGTTGGAGTTAGACATTAACACCGTTGGATGCTGACTCAGCGGTTTAATAGTTAAGCGCTCGCACGCGAGACTGTCGGGTTCTGGGTTCGAGTCTCGTGGGGGGCGGGATCGTGGATGCGCACTGCTGAGTAGTCCCACAATAGGACGAAGCGGCCGTTCAGTGATTTTGATTTTTCATGGTGGTTTAGCTTCAATTGACTCAACTAGGGAAATTTCTAAAATCTCCACAAAACCCCTTCTGAAAATATATTTCTCATGTAATTTAAAGAATTTTATTTTCTTTTGTGTGTTTACTTATGTTCATGTAATGTACAAAAAAATGCAAAAGTTTTATGGAATATAAATGAGTTTTTTTTTTGTTTTCAAGATTCTCTGAGTATTAGGTTTCTTTTATACAATATAGATTTAAGCTAAAAAAGCTGATCAGTGCATACCATTGGCAAAAATATGATTTCTTTCCCAAGGAAATAATTATGCTCTATTGGTTGAAAATGCATGGTTTTATTTTTTGAGAGAAAAATATATTTATTAGTTAATTATTCAATTACCCAACATCATTTTTATAATCACTCAGGTAGGCTTTTTTGTATACATATATATCTGTAGCAGACATAGAGTAGCCTTACTGCATAACAAAAATATTCCCTAGCATATTGAGGTGACGATTTAAACGTTTCTGATAGAGGCTGTAAGCATATGACCAACCGTATGAAAGCATTTTAATAAATGGAGTGGACTTCTCAGCAGCTAGTTAGTTAGTGGTCTTGAGTATTGTTAGAGGTATCAGGACGGTTATCACTTCTCGGTTGCCCATACTGTGGAAGGGTTCTTCTAGAGGTATCTGGAAAGGAAATTCGATTAAAGCTGGTGTTAGTGACCTGAGAGCGTGACCGAGTGCCCAAGGGACAACCGCTTTAGGTCGATCACACACAACCTTTTTGTGAGTAATTTTCATGTTAGTTTCGTACTTGTTGAGACCTTACAAAAGGAGACGGATATCCATGGGATAAGGTGAGATGTGCATTTTTAGGATCGACCTTTTCTAACCTCACCCCTCCTTGTAAGAAGGCAGCATCGCTGTTAGGCTGGTTGTCTGAAGGAAACACCTTAATACCACCACACCTCTGTACAGTCGGCAGTACGACTTCGCCCTCAGACCTTGGGTTCGCTGCTTTTAGTTTTACCACTTTTCAACCGATCTGTCTGGTATGGTAGGACCTTGAGGAACGATTGTTCTAGTCAGTATAGCTCGATTGGTTCATCACAATAAGCAAGCCTGACCATCACGTCAAGGTAACAACAACTTTTGGGTTGGACTTGTCAGCCTTAGCTGATCATTAGACTATTGGAATTGTGTTGGATGCGAGTTTAATCTAAAGCTTACTAGTCGAAAGCTTTAATCACTGAGTTATCAATTTATCTTCTCTACATTTAAACACCATATATCATAATATATATTGATGATTCATTAAAAATGATCAATCTACAACTGTATTATCATTTCTTAATCCTAAACCATATGAATATATGCATGAAGATTTATATGTTGTTACTGTTGTTGTTGTTGTTGTTTTTGTCTATCAGATTGATTTCACAAAAATCAAAATTAATGATTAATCCATTATTTCATAATCAACATTTTATGTATTATCTTTAATTATTTATCATTATTTCTTATATTTTATTTATGCATGTGCTTGCATTAAAATTTATTCACATTTTCTATAATATTCAATAAAGCATGGATTAAGCATAATCATAATCATTATAATCAAAATGATAATAATGCATGGAATGCATTCAATTCTCCTTCATTAATCACTTCATCTTCAATGTTGTTTTCTTTACGTGATCATCATCATCATCATTATCATCATTATCATCATCATCATATTCAATACAATTCAATCATTAGCCATCAAACAACGAACAACATCAACCAATTCAACAACTGTTCATTCAATAATTATGACCACTACCAATCAAAATACTACAATCAACAAAACCAAACAACAATTATGGAATTGTCCAATATTAGTAAATTTAAATATATAAATTTACCATTTTCATGTATAGTTCATCGTACACAATTAATTAGAACAAGATTATTAAATGATTTATACAATTGGATAAATTTATTTTTAAGAAATCTTTTAAATTTATTATTTTTTTTATTACCATCATTATTTGGTAAATAAATAAAAAAAAAAGAAAAAGAAAAGTTTTTTGAAAATAAATGAACAAAAAAGAAAAGAAAAGAAAATGGAAGGGGGGGGCGGGAGGAGGAGGAGGTGGTGGTGGCGAAAAAAAAAACAATATTTTTCATTCAGTTTATTTTAATCAGTGAAAGAAATCTAATGAAGTGTAGTATATATCTTGATGATATTAATTCAATATTCATTCGGAAATGTGTTATTAATGTTGTTGATGATAATGATGATATTACATATTCAACTTATTTTACATTCTTCATTAAATAAACATCATTTTATCTAATATATATTAATAATTCCAGTCGATAATCAACTTGAATTTGTCCAGTTTCTTGTTCATTTTTTCTTTGTTGTTACGTTAATAAGTCGTGATAATTTTTCGTTTTCTTTCGTCCCCAGTTTCTTTTTTTTTGTTGTTGTTTTTTTACTCAATTCGTTTCTTTCTCTATCTGTTAATGTATATTTGTACATGTGTACAATGTTCACTTTCGACAATATATAAAAGTAATATTTCGATAATTGAAATGAGAAAAAAAAAGAAAAAAGAAGAACTTTAATAAATAAAACGAAATTTCTAAAAGAAATTAAATTGTATAATGAGGTACACTTATTCAAAACAAGTTCATTACAGTATACATATGGTTTGTATGATGTTTCTGTTCTCTCTCTCTCTCTCTCCCTCTTCCTTTTTTTTATGTATGAACTGTTATATATTGTGCAGTTGAAATCTATCATATTACAAATTACCTTTTTATGTCTATCGAATTTCATAATTTTGTTTAGTAATAGATAGATTTTCAAGTTCTTGAATAAGGTAAATCAAATCGCTGAATTGATTCATTAATGATAAACAATGTGTAATCTCTTATCACTTCAAACAAAATATTATTTATGATTGAATTGATGACTTAATGCGCCATAAGTATACTGTTTTTTTCTTGGTTTCATTTAATGACAGATAAATTTTTTTTTTGTTTGCCTCTGTATGCTTTTTTAAAAAGACATTCTGATATTACTTATTTCTTATAACAGCATATATATATATGTGATAAATAACTGCTCAAAATACTTGTATTTTAGGAATAAATTTTAATTTTATGGTGAATTAAATTTTAAAGAAAATGTTTGATGAAGTAATTCAATACATATATGAAGTGATAATTGTTAGTTATTTTGTTATATCTAGAGTTTAGATTCGTAATATACCGCGTATAACTTGAGTACTCGAATGCTAGAACTCTCCCAAGTTGCAAATGAGAAGATAGAAGACAAGCGAAAAAAATGCTATTCCAATTAGTATCAATTATGGTACAAAATTATCAGGTATTTATAGTTTTTAGTAAGCATGAAATCATCATTATAGTCCTCCAATCCGCATACAGGGAGTTATCAGCATTTATCGAATAGGGAAGCTACACGTAGTGGTTCTGAAATATTCTTCCAAAAGATGATTGGATCAAATATGTTCGACTCTTTCTGAGCTTCTTAAAGCTTTCTCGGGTTCACCCATGAACCATCCTCACGTGTTTTCAATATATTTTAGCTTATAATTGGATATGCATATATACATTATACTATAGATAATTATTACGACGTAACCATTCCAAGTTGATCTGCTTTTCGCATCGAAACATGTTGTCTGAAGTTTTTAATTACTCTGTTTTCAATATATGGAAATTAGCAATGAAGTTTGTATTCATTCATATAATTCAAACTAACAAATTATTACTTCATGAGATTTATGTGATACTAAGATAGTATTTACTTAGTTATACCTAAGATGTTAGCTACTCAAAACAACTGATGTAGGCTTACAACTTAACCGACTTTCTTATTTTCATATAAAGTATAATGTCTAATTTTCTTAAAAATCTTGATTCAATATTCTAAACAAACGCCAACACTCATTTGAAAGTATCAATAGTTAAACACATGTCATCTTATTTCAGTTTCCTTCAATGTTTTAGTAACATAGAGATAACGTTTCCTCAGTATATTCATCCTTTGACAAACATGTCATTATCTATTCAACATTATCATCAGTATTCTCAAGTTCCAGTGTTTAATTTTGTGCAGAACTTTCTCTAATTTTGTTGAGATTTCTTTACCCACCAGGATTAATTTATTTCTCCTATTGTTCAGCTTGACCAACATCTACCCTAAGTGTTATGATTTGTGAATTACTTGATTATTTTAACGGATAGACGATTAGGATGCTTTTTTAGTATTAAATAGGCTTTACACAAACTACATTGATCAGGCGACTAACATAATATAAAGAGAAAACGAGACATTCATGAGAGCTTTAATATTCTCAACTTATAGCAGCGACATCTGAAAAATACTGAAAAAAAATTGACACACTAAACGACAAGGTAGCTAATCAAATAGTAGCAAAGATCATTGTAATAGTTTAAATAAAAATCTAAGAATTGGTTATGTGCGGTGACTAAAATATATTAACAAAAGGAAAGAAACCTAGATGTTTTGAAGTCTGTGATGTATTTCCCAGGTACTGGAGTGGTATTTTCTATTATATCTACTGACATTACCATCGGTTCATTCATTGACTTATCAAATTTTCTGAATTTGCTAACTGTATTTTGACTAAAGCGTCCATCTGTGTACCCTGTAACTCCACAGTTGTCACGTTGATAGGTTTTGTGCTAGAATGATTTGGCGAGTCGTCATTTACTACAATGCCTTCTCTGTGTTTGATTTATTGACAAGATATAATCCGGTGATCACCGAAAGACTAGGATAAAGAGAATCCAACGAAGAAAACTTTCTTTTTGACGAAATCATTTACTTAAGCTG